GGGGTGGCTGGGAACCTGGGGGGCCCAGGGCGGCAGTTGCTGAAATCCTCCCGGCCAGGGCCAGGAGATGCCGGTAATGAGGCCCTGACCCCTGTTGGAGACCTAAAACCTGCCTGAGAATGCTCTGACCTTTTACAGACACCTGCGTAAACTCTGACAAACAATCATTCTCGGAAATACCACATGAGGTACGTTTAGATTAAGTTCCTGGAACAGGCTGGGCCGGTCTGTTGTAAGAACCGTTGGACCAAAAAGACTTTACCCTAACCCCATTATTAAAATTTTCCATCTACCCTGCCCTTCCCCACAGTATTTCCCCTTCTACTCTTATAAAAGCAAAAGCCTCTTTGCCAATAAATGAGACCTTGACGGGACTCAGACTGACTTTGTCTTTCTTCATGCGCTTGGTCTCCTTCTTCTCTCCACCCATTGGTTCTTTTAGGAGGTGCCCCCTCGGGTCCCACCAAATTACCTGACCTGCTGGACGGGTCAAGTGGCGCCCAATGTGGGGCCCGAGGCGCGGTGACCTGCCGGACAGCGGACAAGTACGGAGCTCCTGGACACACGAGGTAGAGACGTCCGGACCGCATCGCTCGTGCACCCCGGAAAGGTCTTGAGGTAAGTTTTGCTGTCCCATCAACCATGGGCAAGAATCTGTCTAAGGAAGGACTTTTTATTAAGGAAATGAAAAGTAATCTTAGGGAGAGAGGAATTAGAGTAAAGAAAAAGGACTTGCATATTTTTTTTTTTTTGTTTTGTGGAGGAAAAATGTCCATGGTTAGTATTACATGGCCCAGGAATTCACCCTCTTACCTGGAATAAGGTAGGAAAGGACATTAACAAAATCCTCAGGGACGGAGAAGAAGTTCCCGAAGCCTTTTTTAGTTTTTATGGAGTCATTAGGGACATCTTAAAAGATGTGGAGGGAGATGGACGATTTTCCCATCTTTTAGCCCTTGCGGAAGACCTCCTTACTTGTTCCTCGGCAAAACATGAATCTTGCTCTAAGGTCAGTTCGCCAACCGCCCCTCTAAGAAATGACGAGGCTGCCACCGGCGCGGCTTTGCCCTCTCCGGCCCCTATTGATGAGCCTATCCCCACTAAATTGCCCCCCCCTTATTGAGGCCACCCCCTTTAAATAAATCCTTAAAAATACAAAAGGCCACATATCCTGTAATCCATCAAGATGTCTCTGACGATGACTGGCTCAATCCCTCACAACAAGCTGACCTCGAGGAGGAGGCAGCTAAATATGATGAGGAAAAATATGGGCCCCGTCCTCAATATCAGCCCCAAATTTTGGTAGCAGATCGGGGGCATACAAGACAACTCCACTGGCCCTCTCCACCCCCGTATGGACCATGTCCCCCCAGCGCCCCAAGCGTCCCCCCAAACGATTCAGTCTCAGGGGTAGAAGGACTCCTAAAAACTAAAGAATCGGCCGGGCGCTGGTGGCTCACGCCTGTAATCCCAGCTACTCAGGAGGCTGAGATCTGAGGATTGTGGTTCAAAGCCAGCCCGGGCAGGAAAGACCGTGAGACTCCTATCTCCAATAAACCACCAGAAAACCGGAAGTGGCGCTGTAGCTCAAGTGGTAGAGCGCTCGCCTTGAGCTGAAGGACAGCGCCCAGGCCCAGAGTTCAAGCCCCATGACCGACAAAAAAAAAAAAAAAAAACTAAAGAATCCCTTTTAAGACAGGTCTCCACTCTAAAAGATGTCCTTTCTGTAAAAAAAGAATTGAGAGACCTCACCCAACAAATACAGGAATTACAGGTTGACCTTACAGGGGAAGCTGGCCGGCCTTGCTTTGCCCCACGTGGGTCCCTTGCCAAAAACACGGGCAAGGCCAAAAATAAATAAGAATAATAAGACGACAACTTCGGTGTCGCTCTCTTTTCCAGTAATAACCCGCTCTGGTACCCAGGCCCAAGACACTGGAAACCAGGCAGACACCACCCAGGGTGATAATTCAAATGATGAAGATGTTGACCAAGGGACCTCGGCCTCTGAAGGAGAGGGGGAGGAACGAGAGGAGGAACGAGAGAGAGAGAATGTGGGCCAGATCATATACAAAAAATTAAAACTTAAACACTTAAAAGACTTACATTCAGCAGTTAAAAATTATGGTATTAATGCACTCTTTACCCTTTCTATACTTGAAGGACTGGGCCAAGGAGGCAGCCTCACAAGTGGGTTAAAGTGGTTCAGTCGGTCCTGACTAGAAGCCAGTTCCTAACCTGGAAGGCTGAGGTTATAGACAGGGCTGAGATGCAGGCTGTTTTAAATAAAAGGAGTCCTCAAATGGCCACATGGTCCTCTGATAAAATTACCGGAAGGGGCAAATTTGCTACAGAAGAAAGGCAATGAAAGCTTCCAAGGGGACTCCTTACACAGACGTCCCAAGCAGCCATGGCAGCCTGGCGGGCCGTGCCCTCCACCGGGACGGCCACAACCTCTCTATCCACGATCCTTCAGGGTCCTAATGAGCCTTATGCCCAATTTGTTGCCAGACTGTTAGAAGCAGCTGAGAGAATTTTGGGAGATGACAGTACAGATAATATACTAATAAAACAATTGGCTATAGAAAATGCTAATAGTGCCTGTAAAGCCGCTTTGCGGGGTAAAACAAAAAATTTAGATTTAAATGGCATGATTAAACTCTGTAATGATGTCGATTCTCTAAAATCTCCAAGACCATGTTGGCAATTGGCGCCATGTTTCAAATACCCACCAAGGCCTCCGGCAATAAGACCGCCCCCAGGACCCTGCCCTAGATGTAAAAAAGGATGGCATTGGGTCCGAGAATGCCGCTCTAAGACAGATATTAATGGCCAACCGTTGTCTGCGGTCCAGGGAAACGGGCCGCGGGCCCTACCCAGTCACAAACCCCGCTTCAGATGATTTCCAACAATCCTTTCAACATCAGTCAGGGCCAAAACACCCCTCAGCTTCAAACACCCTTAACTCAACCTCCGCAGACCTATTTAGAGCCACACCAGGAAGCGCAGGACTGGACCTCTGTTCCTCCACCACCCGAGTTATAACCCCTGAAGAGGGCACAACCATAATAGACACAGCCCCCCCCCCCCGCCAGGAATGTTTTTCCTTATCCTCGAGCCTCTAGCTCATTTCAGGGACTGTCCATAACCCCCACCATAGTTGATTCTGATTACCAGGGAGAGATAAAGATTTTGGCCTCTGTCCCACTCGGACGGCGCATCGCTCAGGCCCTCCCCTTGCTGCTCATGGGACCATTCTCTCACAAAAACCCTGTCCGTGGGTCCTCAAAACCAGGATCCTCAGATAGTTTCTGGGTCCAACAACTCACGGAGAGCTGACCCACAATTTCTAGGCCTTTTGGACACTGGCGCTGACGCCACAGTCATAGCAAAACAATATTGGCCTAAACCCTGGCCACTGGAGCCCACAGTCACTCACCTAAAGGGCATAGGTCAAATTCAAAACACCTTACAAAGCTCTAAGCTGCTCAAGTGGACAGACCCAGAAGGAAACTCGGGAACAGTGAGGCCTTTCGTGGTTGAAGGACTGCCAGTTAACCTGTGGGGAAGAGACATTATGACCCAGATGGGGGTCATTATGATGAGCCCCAATGATAAGGTAACTCAAATGATGTTAAAAACTGGTTTTCTGCCAGGCAAAGGATTGGGAAAACATGAACAAGGATGTACCCAGCCCATCATACCCGTCCCTAAATTAGACAGAGGGGGATTAGGGACGGACCTTTTTTCCTAAGGACCACTGCTGCTCCTGCACACCAAGCCGATAAAATAACTTGGAAGTCTGATGAGCCGGTTTGGATAGAACAGTGGTCCATGCCTTCAGAAAAGGTTCAGGCTGCCCTTCAGTTGGGGCAGGAACAATTAGAACAAGGACACCTTGAACCTTCCACCTCCCCCTGGAACACCCCTATTTTTGTAATAAAGAAAAAAACTGGCAAATGGAGGTTGTTACAGGACCTTAGAGAAGTAAATAAGACAATGGTTCCCATGGGGGCATTACAGCCCGGACTGCCTTCCCCTGTAGCCATTCCTAAAAAATATTTTAAAATTGTTATAGATATTAAGGATTGCTTTTTTTCTATTCCCCTACACCCGATGGATTGTAAACGATTTGCCTTCTCCATACCCGTTGTAAACCATATTGGCCCCGACCCCCGATTTCATTGGAAGGTAGTGGGCATGGCCAATTCGCCCACCTTATGCCAAAAGCATGTAGCTCAATCCATGGACCCAGTTAGGATTCAATTTCCCAGTTTATATTATACATTATATGGATGATTTGCTGATAAGCTGGAAAAACTGAGGATGAGACACAAAGAGTTGCTCAAATAATTGTTAAAGCCCTTTTAGAGGATTTTCCATAGCCCCAGACAAAATTCAGGCTCAATCTCCCTTTTTATTTCTAGGATTTGAGTTATGTCCGGACCTTTTATATACACAAAAGATCCAAATTAAGAGAGACACTCTTCAATACCTTAATGATTATCAAAAACTTTTGGGAGACATTAATTGGTTGCACCATATTTAAAATTAACAAAAGGAGACCTGCGCCCCCTTGAGGATCTCCTTAGAGGAGACCCTGATCCCCTCCCCCCTAGACATCTTACTAAGGAGGCAGAGAAAGCGCTAATTAAGGTTGAATTAGCCATAGCTCAACAACACACGGGATACTTCAACCCAGACGCGCCCCTATATCTAGTCATCTTTTCCACAGAGTGTGCGCCTACCGGCCTACTTTGGCAGGATCTGGTACCCTTACTTTGGGTACACCTCCCCGTAGCTAAAAGAAAAATTCTTCCCACCTATCCTTCCCTGGTTTGCCAAGTAGTTACGAGAGGGATAAATATATCCACACGCTATTGTGGAAGAGACCCTAACTTTGTTATTATGTCATACTAGCTAATCAAATGGTTGTGTACCTGTGACCCTGATTGGGCTGTTCTTATTTGCTCCTATTCTGGAGAATTTGATAAACAGATGCCAAGTAATAAGCTTCTTCAGTTTTTCTCCCTTACCCCCTTTGTATTTCTTAAAAACACCCAGGAAAACCCCATTCCAACTGCCCCTACCATTTTTATTGATGGGTCAAAAAATGGCAGAGCTGCTTATGTTCTTAACAAACAACAACATGTTATAGAAACCTGCTTTAAATCAGCACAGCTGGTAGAATTGTTTGCTGCTGTTACCATTTTTAATAAATATAAAAATAGCCCTTTCAATTTATATTCAGATAGCAAGTATGTGGTTGGGGCCTTACAAACCTTGGAGATGGTTCCCATAATTCAACCTACTACTCCTACTTTTCAAATGTTTTCTGATTTACAAAAGCTGATTCGACAGAGGTCGGCACCTTTCTATGTGGGCCACATTCGTGCTCACACCGGTTTGCCAGGACCTCTAGCTCAAGAAAATGAACTCGCCGATTTGGCCACACGTTCTGTTTTAATTTCTCATCTAGAATCTAGCCAGGTAGCAGCTGCGTGTGAGGCTCATGGCCTTCATCATCTTAATGCTCAGACTTTGAGACAAAGGTTCCTAATTACCAGAGAACAGGCTAGAGAAATTGTAAAAAACTGTAAAAACTGCCTAATGCTTCTACCTGAACCCCATTATGGAGTAAACCCTAGGGGGCTCACACCTGGACAACTGTGGCAAATGGATATTACCCATGTTCCCTCTTTTGGTAACCTAAAATTTATACATGTTACTATAGACTCCTTTAGTGAGTTTATTTGTGCCTCCGTCCATAGTGGGGAAGCCACCAACGATGTTATTAATCATATGTTATATACATTTACAGTATTGGGCCAGCCAAAGAGCATAAAAACCGATAATGGCCCGGGGTACACCAGTAATAAATTTTTTTTTTTTTGGTCGGTCGTGGGGCTTGAACTCTGGGCCTGGGCACTGTCCCTCAACTCTTCAGCTCAAGGTGAGCGCTCTACCACTTGAGCTACAGCGCCACTTCCGGTTTTCTGGTGGTTTATTGGAGATAGGAGTCTCACGGTCTTTCCTGCCCGGGCTGGCTTTGAACCGCGATCCTCAGATCTCAGCCTCCTGAGTAGCTAGGATTACAGGCGTGAGCCACCAGCGCCCGGCACCAGTAATAAATTTAAACAATTTTGCTTACAACTAGGAATCGAACATGTTACAGGGATACCTTATAACCCACGAGGCCAAGGCACTGTGGGAAGAGCCAATCAAACGCTTAAAAACACCTCACATAAACTACGCTCACAAGAAACTTTGTTTCCTTTTAAAGGAAATCAAAAGGCCTTACTTTCTCATGCTCTTTTTGTTTTAAATTTCTTGACACTGGATGCCTTTGGAAGGTCTGCTGCTGAAAGACATTGGCACCCAAAAACTCAACAAGGGTTTGCCCAGGCCCTTTGGAGGGATCCCATTACGGGAAAATGGGAGGGGCCTGACCCAATTATTATTTGGGGAAAAGGGTCTGCATGCATCTATGATTCCAGGGAAAATGGAGCCAGATGGCTACCCGAAAGATTAGTTAAACCATATACCAACATCAATGATTCAGGCAATAATGCCAATAAAAATAATGCTAAGTAGGTCCAGGCCTACAACCTGAGACAAGATTTCTCTTTCTTTTCAGATCCTACCATAAAAGATGACCTCCCCTTTGCCTGCCCGCCTGATCTTCTGGACCCTGCTGATGCCAGTTGTTACCGCGACTAGCTCCCATGTGCCTGTTAAACAGACATGGTCAATTGTAAACCCCAACACTGGAGAAGTCGCCAATGCCACCTCTTCTGCGCTTTACCCACCAAAAGCCTGGTTCCCAGACTTGTTTGTAGATCTTTGTGATATTGTAGGGGGAGATTGGGACCCTTCCGATCAGGAACCTTTCCCTGGGTATGGTTGTGCTAGCCCAGGACAAAGACATAGTACTAGAAACCAACAATTTTATGTCTGCCCTGGCCATAGTCGATCCAAATCCCAACTTAAAAAATGTGGCGGACCAGGGGACGGTTATTGTGCTGCCTGGGGGTGTGAAAGCACTGGATCAGTTTGGTGGTCCCCTCCCGTTAAGGACCTTATAAAGGTTGAGGCCTGGAATAGAAGCATGCAGGGAACTGGCACTTGCTCCAGACACGGGGCTTGTGGGCCTTGCTATGACTCCAAAAAATGGCCCGGTCGACTTTGGGCAACACCGGGTGGCCGGTGTAACGGGCTAAAAATCAGCTTCACACAACAGGCAAAGTCAATTGACTTAACTAAGTGGATACAAGGCCTCTCTTGGGGACTTCGCCTTTACCGAACTGGGTATGACCCAGCTACAACTTTTACCATTCGGCTACAAATGGAACCCCTTTCCACAACTATTGGGCCAAATCTAGTTTTCGCTAATCAACAAGACCCAAAACTTTAAGAGTCAATGCTAAAACCCCAAAACCGCCTAATACAGAGTTATCTTCACCCTCCCCTTTACTAACCCCAGCATTGCCAACCCCAGCCACTGACCAGCCCCGTACAAAGGATAGGCTTTTTAACTTAATACTGGGGGCTTACACAGCCCTCAATGCCTCAGATGCCAACAAAACCCAAAATTGTTGGCTTTGTCTCACTTCCAATCCTCCCTATTATGAGGGAGTTGCATTTAATGACAATTTTACTAACATCTCCAACCCCGATACCAGGTGGCAGACTCAATCCCATAAATTCACACTCGCTGAGGTTTCCGGAGTGGGCCTTTGCCTGGGTAAAGTTCCAGCCACCCACCAACACCTGTGCAACAAAACTATTTCAACCTTAGGATCGAGTGGTTATTTACTGCCCCCCAATGGGTCTTACTGGACCTGCAACACGGGGTTATAACGCCTTGTGTGGCCATTGAGGTGTTTAACCACTCTTCCGAATTTCGTGTGCTAATCCAACTATGGCCTAGGGTCACTTATTATGAGGAACATACATTCCTTCAATTATTTGAACAAAAGCTCAGGTATCCTCGGGAGCCTATATCCTTAACCTTAGCCCTTTTGCTTGGTGTCGGCGGCATAGCTGCAGGAATAGGTACAGGGGCTTCTGCCCTAACACAAAAGAAGTAATTTTTACAATTACAATTTTACAATTATATGCAGCTGTGACCTCGAAACCATAACAAATTCCATCTCCGCTTTGGAAAAATCCCTATCCTCACTTTCAGAGGTGGTGCTACAAAACAGAAGAGGTTTGGATTTATTGTTTCTAAAGGAAGGAGGCTTATGTGCCGCCTTAACAGCAGAATGCTGCTTTTATGCAGATCACACTGGGGTGGTGAGGGACTCCATGGAAAAGTTCCAAAAACGCCTAAAACAAAGACAACTTAACCTCTCCAGTTGGAGCTCCGGAGCTGGGGGCTGGATCAGTCACAACCCTCTGCTGTTCACGTTACTCCCTTTCCTTGTCCCCTTGATTACCCTCTTCCTCTTCCTAGCTTTTGGTCCTTGGGCTTTTCAACGGCTAACTCAGTTTATTAAAAACCAGATCGATTCGACCCTTACCAAAACCGTTTCAGTACACTACCATCGATTAGAAACCCAAGAACAGGCTGTTGAGGCCGAGCAAGGGCTCAGGTTCTGCGCCTCACGGTCCGACCTCCCCTCCGGGTTAGCTAAAGAGTACTCAATGACGGGATTAGTATGGGCCTGCGCTGGAGGCACAGCGTACAGAGGTCGTCGAGACCGGCTCAACATGGCACGCTGCCAGGAGCAGGAGGCACCCCATATAGCCTGAGACAGGGGCTCTCTCAGCCGGGCCAAAAGTCAACTCTGGCCATTTTAATAAAAAGAGGGGGGAATTGTTGGAGACCTAAAACCTGCCTGAGAATGCTCTGACCTTTTACAGACACCTGCGTAAACTCTGACAAACAATCATTCTCGGAAATACCACATGA